CAGCCCGGCCGCGGGAGCGCAGGCCCCGGCACCGGTCACTCCTTGGACAGCGGAGCTGCGCCGGCAGCAGGAAACAGGAAACAAAACAGGCGCGGGGGAACCGCTACAAGGCCTGAAACGGATGAGGTCCCTGCTTCAGCGGCCAGCGTCCTTAATTTGATATTTGCTAATTTCTCAAAGGTCCTTGAAGAACTTCTCCAAAAGCATCAAAAGCCCCTGAACTATGTTCCTGCTATTGCTGGGACAGACGTGTGTCTTCCGCCAGTTCTTGCAAATATTTTTATAACCACTGCAGCTAAGTGGGCACTTCACAACTGTCTGTTTAGTCCCCTTGAACTGACACCAGCGGGCTGATTAACTGGCTTGGGGAGTCGTGCTGCTGCCCCGGGCCAGCCCTGCTCCAGCACGACCACTTGCAGGGGGTGCTGGGGCTGCTGTGTGCCGGCCGCAAGCCGCGGCAGGCCCTGAACTCAGCGCCAAGGTGAGTCTTCTGCTGGGGACAAGCCAGGAGAGTTCGTTCGCAGGCACACAGCCAAGACTCACCCTCCCAGCTCTTCATGAGCTCCTCCAGAACCAAGAGCAGAGGTTGTCTCTGCCCCAGACACCCAACTCAGCAGCTGGGCAGTGATGTACCCAGAAACTCACCATCCCAGAGCAGTTATCATGGACTACAAGATTGTCATCGTTAGTGTGCTTTATAGCTACAGCATTGCATAAAGTGTAACATAAGCTGTGGTGCAGTGCCAGCAGCATCGTGCTCTCAAGATGACACACATCCCCAGAATGCACCTGAGAACAGCACTGGGTATGTCCAATGTGGATGGTACTCTTGTGGGACCACAGGCTCCCCATGCCACTGAGCTCTGGGCAGTGCCCAGGGACTCTGGTCTGTCAAGGCATTCTCTCAGAGGTTCCCCCCTTCCCCTGACGGTGACCAGAGCAGGCAGAGGGGTGATCACATGCTACAGAAGCATTTGGTGACTCCTCTTTCTGTTGCTCTCCTTTCCCAGCAGCTCTCACAGCTTCACAGCCATTCACACTGGGATTTCTCCACCTTTCACAGGATATATACAGCCCACCTCTATAGGACAGGCAGTAGGTTTCGCCTGCTTGGAGGGCTGGACCTGGCTCAGACAGATCCCTCCACAATGGATGAGACTGACAAAAGCATTTGCCACAACACTGATCTTCTGAATGGCACTTACCCAACAGTACAACACACACTTGTACACTCATAAAGTGGATAAAACACCAGTTCAGCTGGTATGTATCTCGTCTGGTAGTGCTCTGTTCAAAACAGGGAAGAAAACAGTACAATAGGGTGAAGGAGCTAAATGTGTAAGCAATCTCTATATCCCTTATCAAAAGGATTTATGTACTCCTCCCAGACTTCCTACAGGAATATTAACAGCCAAGCTGACTCTACCAAAAAGCTTATAAAGCTTAACCTTCTAGCCCCAAAGTGCAGGGTAACATCTGCTCTTCCCTGCTCACTCCTCTAAGCCATGAAGCTTCACAGGGCTGGGTGGCAGCACGAGAAGAGCAGGAGTGAACCCCTGCTCCGAGACGCTGCTGCCGCCCACACCCCGCTGTCCTGCGGGAGCTGCCGCCGCCAAACCCCATGGGACAAGTCAGGGATCTTTCAGAACCTGGCACTGACTCTGGTGGCAGTATTAAAATGTTACTGTGACTTTTTCTATAGAAATAACTTGTCAATAGCAGAATTAAAACAACCACTAAATACCTGAGAAAAATTTGTATTGCATCAAACGGTGAAGGGGAAGCCATTTTTACCTACAGTGCTCCAGAGGGAGCATTTAAAGCCACATTCTGCAAAAATAATTTGTATCTAGTTGCCAAAATAAACCAAATGAGCTTACAACAGCTGACTTGTAATTCTAAACGTAGTATATAATAAAAAAGAATATACCTCTGAGCATCTTTGCAGCATAAAACTCTTGCAGTTATTTTAGTCTCTAGTCCTAATCCTTGAGTTCTTCACATAAAAATTTCACTTCTGCTTATATCCCTGTCATAAAGGTACAGAACAAATATTTATGTGGCTTTACATGCTCACTAAAGATGAAGTGACCTTCACCCAGTTAAAGCAGAAATGTTTCTTTTTAATTTTGGAATGCTCTGTAGTAGCATCAGTTAGGCTGCGTTAAATGTTAAGTAACAGCAGTACTGAGACATCATAGTTCATAAAACAGTATCCCCTGCCAATATTGTACTGCAGCACTAATGCAATGAAGAACAGAGACTACAGAGAGCAAAACCAATTCATAGCAGTGAAAAATCATTAAAATACCATGAAGTTCAAATTAGTAGCTTCTTTCCCTTTCACTTGGTTGAAGACAGGTATGGAATTTTGAAAAAAAACCTAAAAAGCCATCTCCACTCCTTACACAACTTAAAATTTAGCAAGTTAACAAATAAAGATAAGCAAATATGAACTGCAAGTATAACATTTGAAATGGCAAAACTAATCAGTAAACCCAAATATTAAAAGTTGTAATTGGATTCTGCATCTTCCCTGGTGTTACACAGCAGCTACATCTCTCTGAATCAGTGAGTGTATGAGTACTGACAGTAACATTGCCTCCCTTATACTGCTCCACCTCTACCTTGGAAAACATGGGGCTGAGCAGCTCTTCATTTGACCTAAACCCTGCAAAATGGAATCTTATTTTTTCAAAACTGGAGTTATATATGTATTTATTCTGTGCAGGTGGAATCAAGCACCCACGCAGATCTCAACTGAAATCAATCAGGTTCAGTGCAGCTGCAATATTCGATCCTCTCAGAACAAGTTTCAGACTTGGTAGTCAAGTTATCACTTTAAGCAACTCAATATCAATGAATATTTCATAAGTTTATATGGAAAAGTTTTATGCTGCCAACTTTAAATTCATACCAAGTTTGTTGTGGTTTGTTTTTTGTTGTCGTTTTTTTTTTAATCATCTACGCATCTGATGGGAAGTTTGTTGTGGTCTTTTGTTTTTTTAAATTATCTACACATCTGATGGGAAGTATTACAAACATAGCAAAAAAACAGATCGATCACTCTGCAGATCTGTTGACAGAGCTGAGACACACTGTTCTGGGACATGGTCACTGTATACATAGAACTTGGGTTAAAAGGATTCTGGATTTTTCCTTTGCACTGTGGGATTTAAAGTATTTGCAGATCTCCAAGAGAAAGAGTGCAGGCAGGAAAGTGGGCAGCAGCCATCAAGAGCTGCAACAGTGAGTTCTTGGCTGTGCTGCAGGCTGGTGGGTTCCAGCTCTTCAGTAAGGCATGGCAGTGTGCACAAGCAGAGCAATGGACTGTGACAGTAATTTTAATTCCCACAAATAGCTGAAAAGTTCACATGCACCCAAGTTTAAAATACAGATTTCTAAAAGTGTAGCAAGATGGCACCAGTGAATCAATCTGCTACTTCCAAGTGCCAACAAAGATCACCATCAGGCAGCTGGCAGTTAAGAATTTATCTCTGTTTCGGCTCAGAAGTAGAGAAAAGGTACGTAGACTTATCATAGATAGGAAGATAAAAGAAAGCGATAGGGCAGGTTTTCTAACAAGCAGCCCAGGGACAAGATCCACACCAAAAGGGACTCTTACAACTTATCCTGCATCCTACCTATATCCTGCCCCCAAACTTAAAAAAATACAATGGAATAGAGCCCCAAATCAGTGAAATATTTAAGTATTTGCTTCATTTTAAACACTAATGTAGCCAACTGAAAACTGAATTAAAATCAGCACCATAGTGAGTTATTTTATGTGTTTCCAAATAATTTCTAGGGCAAAGTGTTTTGCTTAGTCTCTCAAACCTAGCTTGGAGAGCAGGTAGAGGGTATCTCAGCAGGCAGCTCAGGTTTGAAATGGTCTTACCACCTCGTCTATGTGCAGAATCAGTAGAATAAACTTGAGTGATAAATTCCCCAGTAAGTGTCTAAAAGAGGAACATTCTGCAGCTGAACAGATAAAGCTCTTCTCAAATTTGTTCAGACACTTCAGTGTACATTTTCCACCCTCTATTTCACTTCGTGCAGTCTAAATTAGGCTCATTAGTTTCACTATACTAGATCACTTATGTGAAATAAGAAAAGTTTCCTCTCCTCAGGAAGTAAAATTCACCATTAAAAAATACAATTTAAAAATCCCAACACTTTACAAACACATTACTTTCTGTGTGCTTTGATAGAGCAGAAAAGACTTAATCTTTTCCTGTGCAGGTAGTTACACACTACAAAGTCTGCAGTGAGCAATGTATAAAGTGAAGGGTAAGTAACTGTGATTAAAATTCTCCAAATTATACTACGAGAAAATTTTTTTTGTTTTGTTGCATTAAATACTGAAATACTTTACATTGCAGTTTAATTTTATATTTAGTAATTATTTTATGATAGTTACATCTAATATTTAAACAACCCAAATTCTGACCAGTTGAATTACTTCTTCCCCCTTCAAATCATACTACCCCAGGCAGGATTCTCAAACATTCCCCCTCTAACATATCTTTATTTAAGTGATGGGGCTGCAAAAGGTTTGATCCTTACAGGAATATTTCCTGACGTTCACAAGGATGGAGTGGGCACAAGATGAAATTTTCCTGAAGTCAAACTTTAGAAAACTTTTTTTTATTTTAAAACAATTGGGTTTTGTATGAAAGACGGAGGTTTATGCTGTGTTGATTAAGAAATCCTTCATCTAGCCTAATTTATTCAGGATAAATATAGAAGTTGAATTCCTCAAACATTGCTCAAAAGTGAGATTCTTAAAGCTAATACACAAGTTAGATTACACAGTGTGAGCAAAATTCATACAAAATTAAGTAGCTGCCCAACCTTGGAGATCTATGAGTTTATTTAAGACTGTATTTTGGCAACACCACTTGGAATAGGTGAGAAAAACCTGCACAACAGCCTTTAAAATTAGCGATGTTTATATTTTGCACCCTTCCATTTAGTACTGTGCATAACAGCTTATTTAAAGTCTCCTGCAGTAGTAGCAGCTGATTTCCCTTGAAACACACTTGTTTTCAATAACACTGAAGTCTTTAGCAGCCATTTGATAAAGCAATTTGCCTTCTGAAGCACTTGTTTTTTCCTGGATGTTCCTTCTGAACTGTGCATGCAGAAGCAACTGGCAAGGACCAAAATTAAACTAGCTACTCATAAGCCAGAAATACAGAGGGAAGTGGACAACCCATCTGCAGCAAGCTCTTCCACTCCCCTTTCTCCTTTATATTCAGCTCCAGTTGCACAGGTGACATTTTCAATAATTTTACAAATTCCTGTTTGTGCAGCTGAAAGAACTACAGAACTTTATGAATGTCCTCAGGACACAGCAGTGTAGATAAGTCTCTATTTGACTTTTATTAAAATTAGACATCCTGTCTCAGCTGTTGTGTAACTGTTTTATATTCTAAAGGAAATAAAGATACTCTACTTTTATAACTGCATACCTTAAGACAACGGGCAACACATTGTTTCACAGCAAGGGTTTCCAAAACCTATGGCAGGCCTCACGTAACAGCTGCCTTGGGATACATAAGGATGTGCCTCCCTACAACCAAAATGACAAACTAAATTAACATGAATGTTTCAGTACGCTTCACCTTCCTGGTCTGCAGTGCCCAGTAACCCCTAAATCCCTTCAGCTGGTCAGTGCACCTCTCCCTCTCATCAGAATCCCCACAGCGGGGGGCTCTGCTCAGGCTCTGGTGCCACACAGGGCAGCAGCCCACGCTTCTGCTGAGGGACTTGCTCCCCGAGGACAGCAGACACCACGCAACAACAGTCCCTTGGATCTAAGCATTCAGATGATGGAGCAAAACAGCAGGTCCTCATTTGACTACAGATTGGACAATTTTCAATCCCAGCAAAAAGAGTCCCCAATCCTTGTCTTAAAATTCAAATAGAGAGCTCAGGACAAAAGAGAGTGAGAATTCAGTGTTGCTCACATAACTAACATACAACATGCTACAAATTACTGTCTAGGAAAGATCTTGAAACTACTCCATTGCATCTGAATGAAAATTCAGTGGGTGACATAAACAATTCACTATTAACTCTTGAAAATCTTGAGGATTTGAGAAAAACGGACTTTTCATCTGTAACATTATCAAATTTCTACTCCATATCACAGTGAGGACCTTCTCCAGGCTAGCATGAAAGATGAGCACGCCTGCTGGAACCTAACTGCCTAGCGATCAAGCTTTATTGTAAACTATTATTATCATCATCTACTTTAATTAACCTATACTCTATAAAAACAGAGAACAAGAATCTATAGCCTCTCAATTCATACAATGGTCAGAATTCAATCCCAGCCTTATGTCTTAAATTTTATGGCCAGTTCTTTTCCACTTTGCCCAAGGCAATATTCTCCATTCAGTTAATCAGCAGATAGTTCTTTTCCCAAAGTGCAGAGAAAATAAGCTAAAATCCTAGGGGAGAAAAAAACAACCAACCAACCAAAAGAACAAAAAACCCCAACCAAACAAAAAAAACAGCAACCCAAAAGATGCAGATTTTATTTTTAAATTACAAGGATCAGCTGTAAAAAAACTCTATACCATAAGTTCTAAAGGTTCATTTCCAGTCTCAGAGCT